TCAGTACAGTCTGCTGTAGTGGTTATGATGCCAGAAGTGTCCTGGCCCGGTTCCCCGGTAATGGGGCAAACCGATTCCCAATGGTGTGCCCCCTTAGCTGGGTCCCCATTGGACTGCCGATGGTCCCTGGTGATACACTGCAGAGCCACATAAGCCACACCTGTCACTATGCACTATGCACTATGCAAACTATGTAATTCCCCTACTTTAACCATTTGTGTCACTATACCTCACTCCCTCTAGCATGTAAGCTCATCGAGCAGGGCCCTCAACCCCCTCTGTTCCTGTACGTCCAGTGGTCTGATCTCAATTATGTGTCTGTTAGTCCACCCATTGTACAGCGCTACGGAATTTGTTGGCGCTATATAAATAATAAAATAATAATAATAATAATAATAATAATAATTGGCTGACAGCATCAGCTGACCACTCTAAGATTTTGACTGACATTCTGCACAATGAAAGTTGCACCCAAATGACTCTACTCAGGGCTGACTGATGACACCCCTATGACACTGCTGGATGTAGAGTTAAATCTCAGGCAAAAGATGGATTAAACTCCGTATGTGTTTCGCTTCATAGTGAAAAGAGGCACATACAGAATCCAGGCACCATGACCACTTCAAAACACTGAAGTGGTCATGGTGCTTAAAGTAACTCTTTAACTTCAGTCCCTGGGTAACTAACATGACTGACATGGATAACTTATCTGTTTTAACTACCAAAATTGACCTTGATTTTCATCAGAGTCAGAGAGGAACCTTCTCTAGTTTAATGTGTCAACTGTCAAACCTTTACCTGATAGATTGATTAGCAGACTTGCCCACTTTCAGGTGCAGGATGACTTGGTATTTATTTAGAACAACTGGGATGCCGACTCCCATCCAGAACAAGAAAACCGAACTCCAACATTCTGCTTAAAAACATTTTGGAAAAACAGTGACACATCTTCCCAAACATACATAATATAATCCACTTAAACAGATAGAGAAGGAGAAAAACAAAACAAAGCTCAAATCAAAGCCCAGTCATACTGAACAGCACATTTTGCACCTTTAGGCAATTTTACAACATAAAAAAAAAATTACAATAAAATGAACCACTTAAAAAGACATGGGAGTGAATTCATTAACAAACACATATTACTTTGCAGTAAATTCATTATACATATGGTACACTACTTACTAACTTACTCAAAATAATTTGGGTTTTAAAAACGACATTTTATGGTACCCCAGTTTACTCAACCAGTAAACACTATGGCTTAAAATTTTAAATTCACTTTGAATTCTCAAAAATGTAAAACAAAACTCTATGATGATATTCTTTTATCAATGTTCTCTTTAGCTAAAGTTGTTCTTAAGCAAATTTACTTTAATGTTAGGGTTATAATATTTGCAAATTTGTTTAAATCAATGCAAATAGCCTCTGTGTGTGTGTTTACTAAACTTGCATGTTTCTTTCCCCTCTGAGAAATCAGGCTGTGGAATTAGAGTCCTTTGCATTTCCAATTTCTCCCAGTCACGTGGAGCACCTGAGATATTCAGTATGTTTTTTCGTCTCTAAGATTCCACTAAGAGCCTCGATACCGTATTTATCTGTAGACACACAGAGCAGTAACATTTTGTGCTGGGTTCAGTCTTCTCCATGTTCTTGTCTGACTGGACACAGGGAGGCTGTGACAATCTGTTCACTGCTATTTCTTATGATTTAATTCAATCTGATCTATTGATGGAGGGATAAATGAGGATATGCTTATTAGGTTAGTCTATGTCCAATTTGCAAGATAATAAAGAGATGTTTTCTCTCTGGGAAATAAGTAGTACTAGGTCTTTTTTTGGTATTATTTATTATTATTATTATTGCCATTTATATAGCGTCAATGGATTCCGTAGCGGTTTACAATATTATAAGAGGGGGGATGTAACAATAAATAGGACAATGACAAGAAAACTTACAGGAACTATAGGTTGAAGAGGACCCTGCTCAAAGGAGCTTACAGTCTATAGGAGGTTATTTTTAACTTCATGTCCCTGTAACTAGAGCGCAAGTGTTTGTTTTTTTGTTTAAATTCTTTATTTAGTCATGACATTGCAAACATCCAATACTATAAATGTAATTGTATAGGCAGGTAAGCAGTTCTAGGTATGTTGACACAAAGTACATCGTCAATCTGACAACACAGTTTTCTGATGTTGTAATAAGAATGGGTGATGTGCCCTATTCAAAACACATACAACCAGGAAAGGAAATCACCAGGGAAAAAAGGATGGGCCGTGTGAACTCTAAGGTGTGTTTATTTTAGACAGATGGATGGACGGACGGACAGACAGACAGATAGATAGATTTGCTTGCATCTACTGGGTCTTTACTTTCACCTTGACTGTATAATGTCTTCTCTATGAATTTCTTTCATTTTAAAAAAAAATTTTTTCTTTAAAGTCTGTTTTAATGTGTGTGATTGGAAATACAAAGACTCTGGACTCAAGAAAAACAGAAAATTCTGAGACAAAATAAAAATTAAATAAATTTAGAAGAAGCAGAAGTGCTAGCAGATCGGAGGATAGTAAGAAGCCATTTCCATTTGAAGCTAAAGAGTTGTACTACATGCACAGACAGGGTAGTCTGCAAGTTGTTTTTTTTAAGGTGGGGGTAATATCAGTGATTTACAAAACTGATAACATTAGATGTGTGCACCCGGTATGGCAGCCATAGTGACAAATAGATTTACATAAATGCATAATGTGCCCCAAAACAGGACTCTTGGTTGGTCTTTGACAAGCTTTGCTGTTTGTTTGTATCCATCTATAATAAGGAGATATATTTTAAACTGCTCAATTCTACACACCATTACTTTTACTGATACTTGGAAGAAAAATACTTAATCCACCAACCAAAATTCCAAAGAACTTTCCCATGCTGTGTAAAATGACACAGAGCACTCTGATTGGTGGATTTCAAACCAACCAATCAGAGTGCTGTGACAGGTAAATGTATAGACTTACCTGTCAGTCTCTTCATTTACCTGTCAGAGCACTCTGATTGGATGGCTTAAACCCACCAATCAGAGTGCTCTGAGCCTAATTGCAGGGCGGGGGAAGGCTTTATAAGCCTTCCCCCGCCCTGCAGAGCTCAGTCTGTGCAGAGCCCTCGCCGGGTGAAGATGGATTATTTGTTTTTGCGCTTTTTTTTTTTTTTAATTGCGCCGGTTATTATGGATTTTTATTTGCCCTTTTTTGGGGCTGAAAAAATATTTTAGAAGAAAGAAAACATCAAATGGTAAATTTTTATTTTTACAGGTACTTAGTTAAAGGTCCCTCCTCATTATTTTTAGGGTGAGGGGGGTAGATAGGGGTTTATTTTTTTGGGGAGAGGGTGACTAGGGGTTTGGGGA